TTGCAGGACTTTTGTGTTGCAGACAATAACAGCCAAGGTAGGCATCTGATGATACATATTTATGAAGTTAAACTTCCTATAAATGCAATTGTCAATCCGAAGATTAGTGTTTTACACTTTGAACTAGAGTTTAAAAAGTCAGAGTTGGGGTCTGAGTCGCAGGGTTCCCGAGCCTGAATCCCAAAGGTCCGACTTGGGCAAGTTGGAGTAGGATAGGGCAATTTCTAAGATGAAAAATTTAAAAAGTATGAAAAGATGGGCAGACTGAAGCATTTTGGGGTTTTCCGGCATAGAATCGCCTAGCTCCTGACAAAGGGCTGATTAGGGCGAGTCCGGACTTGGCCCCATGAATTTTTAACAATGCTTTGAAATGGACATGCATGCTAATCTTTCCTTTTCTTCTCTGTGCTCTTTCATGCAGTGTTTGTCAATGGAAAAGTTTGCAAGGATCCAAAGTTGGCTACTGCAAAGGACTTTTTCTTTCCTGGTCTCGACAAGCCTGGCAACACAAGCAACCCTCTGGGTTCGAAGGTCACCCCGGTGTTTGTAATGCAACTTTTAGGGCTCAACACTCTGGGCGTCTCCATTGCGCGTATCGACTTTGCTCCCTGGGGCCAAAACCCTCCCCACACGCACCCACGTGCCTCTGAGATCCTCACTGTCTTGGAAGGGACTCTATACGTTGGCTTCGTGACCAGCAACCCCGACAACCGTTTGATTAGCAAGACGCTGAACAAGGGAGATGTCTTCGTGTTCCCTCAAGGCCTCATTCACTTCCAGCAAAATGTGGGTTATGGCAATGCTGTGGCCCTAGCAGCTTTCGGCAGCCAGAATCCAGGGGTGATAACCATAGCTAATGCTGTGTTTGGATCCAACCCACCTATCTCTGATGCTGTTCTTGCAAAGGCCTTCCAAATAGATAAAAAACTGGTGGATAAACTCCAATCCAGCTTCTGGATGGATAATAACTAACTTTTAGGTCAATGATCCCTCATTACTACATATTAGAGATTGATTGCATATGGAATAAAGTGATCCTCAATGAGTGGCTTTCATTTGTATTTTCTTTGTGATATTTGATTTCTTATGTATTATGCTTTGTTACTGGATAATAATAGTAGTTTATAGATTAAGTTTTGATATAAAAAGTACCTTTGTCATTTTTGCTTCATTTGTTTTTTCTTTCATTCTTTATGGACTGCAAAATCAAGTACATTATGGCTGGAGCTTGTTTGGACATCATTCAGTTTTTAATAACCTAACCACATATTGTTGAATATGTCTGTCAACAAACATTCACAAATCACAAACGAAGTCTGAGACGACAAATTGACATTTTCTTCAATTATAGCAAGTTAAAAGTTTACATTCTCTAACAATGGGCTCAATACTAGGCAGTCGGGATTGGAGGGAGCCAAAATATGACGTCTTGAGTTTTATTTTTAACAAGAATGGAGAATCTCATCCCTAATGAATAATATAAAAAAAAATTTATGCTCTTATAGGAGCATATCATCTATTCACTACCTCCGGTAAAACCATGTTTATGAGTATTCTCAAGAAATCAAATTTTCAATAAAACCCTGTTTATGAGTATTTTCAAGAAATCAAATTTGGGAATGTAACATAGCAATCAACCTCTCTCTTGAAAGAAAAATCGATATGCACTGGATGTACGCCTATTAAACAATAAAGTTTTAAGATTGAATGGAGACCGCCCAATTTTAGAATGGTATAAATCTAAGCATTTGAAAGCTCAATATCAATATATTCTTTCTTGCAAAAAAATCATCTTTTGATTCGAGTTTGTATCTCAAAATTTTAGAACGAAAAAGTATTCATCAGTAGCTTTTTTACGCGAGGAGTGACAGTAAATTGTGGTGGTCCACAATATTTGGGTGTCCACTGGATAGCAGAATCCTAACACCCATCTTAAGGAATGCCCATGTCCAAATATAAGAATTTGAGGGGATTTTATTAATAAGGTGAATTTAGGGGACATGGGCCTGTTTTTTTTATGGTAAACATTATTCTAGAATTATTATTTAAATATTTATGAACATCTAGATATTCTATTTATGAGATTTGGATTTGTAAAAGGAAATATATTAATTTTATAATATTTAAATATTCAAATAAATATTCTAAAATATTTTTATTATTTTTAAAATATAAAATAAATTTTCATGGGAGCCTATTGTGCACATGGGACCACCATGTTCTAGAAGATGGGGCCCATGTTGCCCCACTAGGGTCGCACGCCCACCCTTTGATTACTTTTTAATATTCAAAATTGTGACACATGGTCACATGGAACCATGTGACTTGGAAAGATTTGGTTTGAATTTTAGACTTGAGAATCTTGAAAGAGTTTTTATGGGAAATATGAGTAGGCTTGTAGTATTTTATGGAATGAACAATATTTGATTGAAATTAATTTGACTTAATTTCTGTTGATGGTAAAATGGTTTAGGAAAAGGGGACAACCTTCCAGTGTACTAAATGTCAGTGATCCAAATTCCAGCTTCGGTAGGAAAAAGAATTGAGAAGATGCTAAGAGATTTTTTGTGGGGTTCGTATGGAGAGATTATAAAATTCCATTTGTTAAAATGGGATAGAGTTTGTACCCCCAAGCGCGAAGGGGGACTGGGTATTCGGAATATTAAAATGTTTAACGAAGCTCTTTGTGTAAATGGTGGTGGCGTAGTATACACTTGAAGGATCATCTTTGGTACCAAGTTTTGGTTTCTAAATATGGAATTGATTGTTATGATTTTTGGCCTGGTGGTGGTAGAGGTAAGGATACGTCTTATATGTGGCAGGCTATTTATAATTGTAGTCTCACGTTTTCTGATTACTTTAGGTGGAATGTTAGAAGTGGTTGGCAGATTTTGTTTTGGCATCACAAACGATTTGCGGATATCCCCTTAAATATGCTTTCCTGGACCTTTTCCGTATAACCCAAATCTTTTGATTTGTGAAACAGTGGAAAGGAGTGGCCCGCGGTATTAATGGAATATATCTCTTAGATATAGGCGTTTAAATAATTTGATGTTGTCCTAATGGTGTTCGCTGATGGAACTCTTAAACAAAGTTTTTATTTCACAAAACGCAGAAGATATGTTAGTGTGGGAGATGGAAAGTGAGGGTAATTTCTCAGTAAAATCTTGCTATAATTTTTTTTCCATGATCGGTGGAGATGGTCTTGCCCTAATATTTCCAAAATTTGGAAATGGCCAATATCCCATAAGTTCAAGTATTTGTTAGGTTGGCTGTACATGACAAAATCTTGACTATTGATAATCTTCAGAAAAGGGTTAAGATTCTACCAAATATATGTTTGCTCTTTAAACAAGACGGGGAATCGATATCGCATTGGTTAAAAAGTAGTACATTTCATATAATGAAACATCAAATTCATTATAAATAGTTAATAATAACTATCTTAATATTTGTTTGAAAAGTAGTACATTTCATATAAAAGGTTAAAGTTTTTCATGAATAAAAAACTTAATTTATGAGCATAATTTAAAAGGCCAAATTCTTAAATATATTATTAATAAATCTAAGTTAGTTTCATATTACTCATGAAAATAAATTTATCATCTAGATCGAAAAATTGATTTCAAAATTTTAATCACTGTTTTTTTATCATAAAGTGAGTAAATATGGCCACTAAGGTTTTCAATAGCCTTTACGACACTATGGGAGTTTGCATTAAATTCCCAATTGTGCTTTTGGAATCACAAGTAATAGAAAATAAGTAACCAAAAATACTCTCACTATTACAATATTAAATTGAATCTCGACTATAAAATATTATTTTAAATTGAATGAATTATTTTTATAATATACTAACAGGATAAGTTTATTTAGAGCCGAGGCTCTAAACAATCAAATTAAAGCTTACATCAAAAATTTCATTAGAAGAAGTTGTTTTGATGCCCAAATATCTTTAAATTGATCACATCGACATCAAGATGCACGGGCATGTGAGAAAATGGCTTTCAAGTTTTGGAAATACTGTATTTTGTAACGCATTTTTGAACTGTCAATTTTCAAGATTTTCAAGTTTAATAGCTCTGTCGATCTACAATATTTTTGAAACTTTAAACTTTATAAATAAATATAAAAATATATTTTAAGGCTATCACAAAGATTTCTAGTATTAAAACTACGTTTCTCAACACTATTTGAAGATAGACTCAAATTTGATTGTTTAGAGCCGAGGCTCTCTACAAAACGCACCCCTAATTATTGACCATATCAACATTTAAATTTTAAATTTAACAGAGATTACATTTTGTATTTCACTCAAATGTGAGACACATTCAATTTTATGATTTCTTATTAACAAAAATTCTAATTTAGCATTGAATAAAAGAGGATCTAATGAATATAAATTCATTTAAATTATAAAATTAAAACAACATTTTAAAAACATATTGTCTGTACAAAATAATGTTATCAAAATTAACTATGAAATGTGGTCTGATACTAATCCTTTTGAATTACAATTATTTCTAATCTACATGCGGTAACACACACTTTAAATTATCTATCGAGTAATTCAGGTGATTAAATTACTTGGTAAGCCTAAAATAAAGAAATCTTTAAAGGAAAAAGTTTATATAAGGGTAAACCCAAAGTCTTCTCTCTCTATCATCTACTTGTTTTTGAGTCCCAAGGTTCTTTCTCCTTTGATATTCTCTCCCATTGTGTTTCTTATTAGCAAGCCTGTTCTAAATAGAGAAAGGATAGCAACCAGGGGCAAGATAAAGGAGAACTTATACGTCTTGAACAATGATGCCATCACAGTATTTTGGGTGTTGTTATAGAATTGAAGATCATTACAATACTTTAAGTGTTGTGATACTTATTATAATCATCACAAGTGATACTTCAATACATCATGACATAGAGCTTACCATGATGCCTTTCACGATTAAATGACTACTGAAATAACATAAAAAATTCTTTTTTTTAATCCATCGGACCAATTAATGCAAGACCACTTTGGGTTAGTGATTTAATAATTGGGGAGAGAGAGGTAGGTAGGTGACTATACTCACCGGCTTCTAAGAAAGAAGAATTAAATTAGTGTTGAGATGGAGAGGTTAGCTGTTGATGTAATATGAGAAGGTGAAGGTTAGTTCGGCTTTTCTATTTTGGTACCTCGGATGATCCAGTACATTTCTTTATCTTTCATCATGTTTATGCCAATGGACCCATTGACTTGCATTCCACGTTGCATTAAATAAAGGAGAATGGTTTGATACCTCGGCCCCACCTTATTAACTCATCGAATATTGCAATTTGAGCATAGGAAAAATGTTTTAAAAATAATGTACACTGTAACAAATTATATAGGCCGTCCATTTTGTTTTAAAAGTAAGTGTTTCATATTATTTTTTGAGTTTTAAATTTTATTTTCGGAATTGAAAATTAATTTTAGAGTCATAATGGAGATTTCTATTGTTGAAAGTATTTTCTGAATGAGAATTTGACGTGACGCTTTATTCTGTTTTCATAAAACCTAGGCCTTATAGAAACTTCATCTTTAAATAAAATCACTTATAAAATAATCACAGTCAAGAAACAATGTCTTACTTGGCTGGCCGTGGCGGATGCGTGTTGTTTTGGAAATGCAAAAAACATATTCTACTCCCTCAGGAGTATACTGTCCATTACTTCATCGTGTAAAACCCCACCTAGGATTAGTTTTAGGATCCAAAATTTTGGGGATATAACCATTTTGACATATACATTAACCTTGATTTTTAAAAAAATCCTAACTGCACCCTCTAAGCGCTTGGACCTAATTGCACCCTTTCAGCGTTTGGAAAAAAAAAAATGTCTCAAGATTGAATAGAAACCATCAAATTTTTAGAGGGTGAGATCTAAGTATTAGAAAACTAAAATTTCATTTTTTTGTTTTTTATTTTAAAATAATCATCTAGTGATTCTAAGGTGGTTACCAAATTTTAGATTGAAAAAAATCCTCCCAAGTGGGTCATCTGACTAAAGAAATAGAAGTAAACTATGCTCCAGAAGGAGTATAATAAATGTGCTCTTATTCCATTAAGAAATTGAGAGCATGAGAGACATGGAGAAAAGAGAGAAAGATTTATATGTATATATAGAGAGAGAGTAAAAGTTTCAATTCATATATGTCTATGAGAAAAGATGGGATTAGCCCACTAGCTCATATGAATTTTAGTTTTCTTTTTATAAATTCAAATTACTTGAAATTTTAGGTGTACGTTTATAAAAAATAGATGAATATTTGAAAAATATCACAATTTTTTTACATGAAATAAATTGATCAAAATACCCCTAAAAAGATTCGGGGGTATTTTGGTTATTTTTTCACGAATAATTTTTTTTATATTTTTATTAGGTGTGCCTTGATGAGTAGAATACACATCTAAAATTTTAAGTGATTTGGATTTATAGAAAAAAAAATCATAAAAATTCAAGCACTATCGAACATCCGTGATCGCCTGATCGGCCCATATTCAATCTGGGCTATTGGGCTTATATGTTCATATGAGCTACTGGGCTACTCCCATCTTTTATATATATATATATATATATATATATATAGAGAGAGAGAGAGAGAGAGAGAAAGAGTAAAAGTTTCAATTCAAATATGTGAGGGAAAAAGGGGGTGGTGGTGATAGACTCTTGAGTCGTTTACAATTTTTTTTTGTCATTCTTTCCTCTAGAAATATGTGAGGGAAAAAGGGGGTAGTGGTCTTGACTCTTGTGGCCTTCACTACTTTTTTTTTGTGTCATTCTTTCCTCTAGAGGTAACATCTATTTGATAAGGTCCACTGAAGAGTGGGAAGCTAGCCTTGGTAAAATCAATTTGAGAAGGCTCACTATATACTGGGAAACTAGCCTACGTGTATGTGTAGCTCAAGTCAATTGAAGCAGTTGAAAAGCAATGGTGACAATACAATTTCAACATACATTAAACTAACTAATGGAAAAGTACACAATGAGATGATTTATCTTTGTTACAATATGGGTCACAATTAATATTGACTATTGGATGTAAATTAGATGGGTGCATTTATTCGTTGTTGACCAAGCTCAAAATTTGAAAGAAAATTTTTCGAATTTTGTGATACACCCAAGCTATCAAATTTTACATCGAACGGTTGTAAGTCATTGTGACCTCATTGTATCAAAGGTAAATGATCTCCTTACATACAATCCCCTAATTAATAAGAAAAGTATGAAGTGCATTAGGGGACACAATTGTTGAAATTTGTCCATTTAAACGGGTCTAGTTTGTATAAGGTTGAGGTTCAAAACAATCAAAGCAAGGTGCAACTTTAAATAATGTCGGAAGATGTTGTTTCAGAACAAAAAGTCTTTATGATGGTCTGGAAATTTTTTCTATTCCTAATTTATCATATAT